TTAGATATTTCTTATGCAACATCACCTTGTTGTTCACTAACGTAACATAAAGCATGCCTCTGAGGTGGAGTCAAAACTTTCAAGACGCTGAGGCTCACAAATCTTATGTAGACTTATATAGGAAAATAGATTTAAGTCATATTACGGGAAACTAAAATGCCATGAGCTTAGATTTTTTTGTTTTGTAGCATTGCCAAGTGGATCCCTACAAAAATAATATGTCATTCCCATTAGGTAAAAATTACCTCCGCCTTGTGTTTCAGTTTGTTTACATAGACTTGTATAGTAAAATATGGTAGAATCACTATGTGACCCATTACAAAGTATTTATTTAAACATGCTACTGGGGTCAAAATTAGATTAGCCCTGAGATTAACTTAGTCTTCTGATAAACTTGAACATACATTTAAGACTTTTTGCAACATTACAATGCCAACAGCTTATATATGCCTCCGATATTAAAAAATGGCAACGCTATTGGGGTCACTTAATTTACATAGACGTGTCTAGTAAAAATGTCTAAAAATCTTCTTTTCTGAAAGTACAACGCTCAATGTTAAGATATTTTGCATGTAACATTACCTCGCAGTCCTCTAAATAAGCTTTATAAGTCGGAGTTCTGGGGTCGAAATTGGCTCCTGTCCAAGGCGCCACTTAGTTTATATAGATATACATATAACACAAAAAAACAACATTTTTTAAAAAACATTCCTATGTGAAAGCAAAATGCCAAGAGCTTTGATATTTGTCATGAAGCATTTCTCAGCAGGCAAATATTTTAAAAGAATAATGCAGCATGTGTAAAAAAAACAGTTAGCCCAATTGACCATAATACATTGAAAAATTAGAATTGTTAACTTTTATAGCAATATATATCAGGTGAGCGATCCACCAGGGCTACCATGGTCCTTTTTTTTTCTTTTTTCGTTTTACAAAATTGCATAAAGTGGGACAATAAATGTTAAAATCAACATATGCTTTACAATCAAGTTTTTAAATGGTATTGGATTTTAGATCAAATGACCAGCTGAGTGACGTAAGGAATTATCTAGTTGAGAATTAAATGAAACCAACAGCACATGTGATTTCATATTAGTGAAAGAATGTATCTTTCTTGTAACCTTTTCAATCCATCACACTTTATTTCTATTTTATTGTCACAATATCTTACCTAGGCCATGTTGATGCCGGAAAAAGCCGCCCCATAGATTGAGTCACATCTGTTATAATTCCGATCCATAAAGATTGTTCAGCACGACACATTTGTAGTAGTTGCCTTATATTAATTTCTTCTAATACACCCTTTTCTTAGTTTGTGGGACCTCTATTCTGCATTGAATATGTTACCTGCTTTTCGAAGTAAATGTGGTACGTCTGACTTTGAAATGCACTTTTCACAATCTTTTTCCAAAATACATTTTATTAATTTCAGCCCATTATTTTTATTGTTGTTGATTTCTTTGCTTTTTCGTAAAAGGGACTCCATCGTGATTCTTTTTACCTGCCGGGACTGCAAATATTTATTTAGATTTATGTTCCATTTGATAAAAGTCTATACCAGTAGACACAAAAATACGAGTTCCAACTTCCAATTTATACTGAGTATCGGATATATGATTTTTTTTATCTCAATAAAGTTCCTTTAACCCTTTACCTCATATATACGCGAAACAACGCACTTTCGACACCCCCCACTCTTTAAGGCCTCAAATAGTGAAAAAATGTCCTATTTGGGCCCTACACACATGTTTTCGTTTGAGAAATGTTGCTAAAAAAAGTGTGCACTTTTTCGGCGCCGCCCTCCAACCAAACGATACATCAGGGGGTTGCCAGAAGGGGGTTTTGCCCGCTTCTGTTTGGGGGGTTTGAAGGGGGCGGTAGTCCCCCTCATCGCCAAGAAAGTTTTGGACTTGTGAGAGGCTAAAAATGACCCCAGGTCGATCATAATGTAACGTGTAACCAACGCTGAAAAGCCTTTGACTCTATCTCAATCCCTTGAGAAGTTGCAGCACTTTTAAATAAATTTTGATGGAATAAATCAAGGCAAAATAGTGATTTTTGGCAATTTTGAGACGTCTCCTCGTTGCCATGGAAACAGGAAATTTAAGATTGAGCATGTCGTTACAAAGACAATGGTCCAGTCAACATTTGTGCCAGGTTTGATTAGTATTGAAGCATTTTTCATAGTTTCATAGCAGTTTGAACGTGTAACAGGAGGCTTTTCAATGAAAACGGCCAATTTTCACAATATGCTCATGAGGGAAAGGGTTAAATTGTTTTTTGGTCTTTCCTTTTTATGGACAAAATGATTAAAAATGTTAAATTAGCGTAATATCATTTTACTCGTAAATATTCTTTTTTCATTTTTATATGGTATTGAGATTGGTGTAAAATCAGCACCTGAGACTCTTCGTTTGAATAAATCAACATGAATTGAAAGATAAAAAAATGAAACCGACATCGAACCTAAACTAGTGATATTAACATGACCTTATACGTCGGTTTGCCACGGTTTCTATGTACGATATCTATACCGCGAACTAATAATGTATTTCTCTTTTTTGTCTCCAAGGCATGCCTACTTAATTAAATGCCTACTTAATTAACTTGACATCAGTGAACTTTACGATTGTTTGATCATCCAATACAGCAATTTAAGTTATTCTAGACAATGTTACCTTATATTTGAAAATTACTATATTAGTCCTCATAACAACAGTTTTATTTAATTGAATGTGTTGTTTGGCATCGTAAACGGTGTCATACCAATTGTTAGGTTATTATGTCAGCTTATTTTTCAAATGAAAATAAATAAAATCTGAATCCTTATATCACTCTCGAAACGGCAAAATGTATAATGTTGCAGGCTTGCCAGTGCAAGGGTGCGTAGACGGTAACTTTCACTTTCCAGTACCGTCTATGAACAAACTCAATCAAACCGAGCCTGTAACATTTTCAATTTTGTCTTTTTGGGTGTTCTTTAGGCATTTTTCTCTACTTGATTTGACTGAGCCTGTTCATGGATTGTATAAGTGAGTGCAAGATGCCGTTCACACATCCTAGCGGTGGCATAATCAAAATCTAAACATAGTGACTAGTGACCCACGGCTGTGGGCCAATTTTTACGTTAAGGAGGTCTACTAGGCAATGCTACATTCCAAATATCAAAGCTTTGGGCAATGAAATTTCGGAGAAGAAAAACTTTCAATATATGCCTATATAGAATAAGTGACACCTGGGACAGGAAGCCAAATGGTGTTATTATCTAACTTTTGTAGAACACAAAAAGTTAATGCTACGTGCGATATGTCGGAGCTCTGAGCATTGAAGTGTAGAACATTTTTAAAGATTTTAATTTTAAAGATTCTACTGATAGAAATTTATATATAACTGTTGCAAAAGGGCCACCTTAGGGTCATTCCTGTTTTATTTGGTCAAAATCTACCGAAAGATTGATAAGGAGTAAATTGTTGATAACGACGGACAAACTGCAATGATAAAAACTCACCTCTTGAGAAAAAACCCAACATGATTAATTATTATTATGAACTTGTCTATTTTTTGTTTTGCACTTTTTGTTATTAAAATATATGAAGTAGTATTTACATATATTTTATATAGATTCAACTTATATTGTTGAATTGTATTTCCCATGTAATTGATAATCATCGAAATAAAACAACTACACATTGCTTATACTACTTAAACGTTCACTGAAATACACGTATGATATTTTAGGATTTATTTTGAAACTTTATGTCATGAATACGAATGCTACGAATACGAATGTATGTAACAGCGCATCTTAAGGCCTCAACAGACGGTAGGATTTAGTTGTACAGCACTAATTAGAGATAAGATTTTCAAAGCAATACAACACTTGCATTCAGACCGTTAGTCTGCATTGTAGGAATCATCTGAGGTTTCCCTTAAAAGTTCCCTCCCACTTTATCCCTTACATACTTTTCTCACTAAATTACTTTTTTTCTGAGTAATGATTGAAACACCTCCAGTTTTCTTTATTTTCTTTTTTAATTTTTTTTAATGTACATTTTGACCGATACTCAAACCTGGGACCCTCGGAATACCGAACTAATCTCTACTAGTAGTGTTTCTTGCAGTATGTTAACATTAAAGTTACAGTAATTTACATATATACTGAACTACTGTGCAGCTGGCATTAGGCTTTTTATTCTTTTATTTTATCGCAGAAAAAATGATGCCCTGTGGCGGCCGCAAAAGAGTCACCTCACATATATTTAAGGATTCTGCTTGTCCAGTTTCTTTTGGGACACTGTTGACAAGTTAAAGATATTTTTGTGTGCCACAAACACATTTGTTTTTTTTTCTGCATTTTAACAATGCTTATGATAATCATCTTAACAGTTGGTGTTATGTTAAGTTCCCACATTGGCCAAAAGTTGGAGGAGGCGACCCCTATGAATTATTGCAATCAAGAACAGATTCCTTGGAAAACTATCTTAAACTAGATAGCTAGTTCTGTATCTTGGCTGGAGCGGGAAAACCCATTCTTGCATATCAGACAGGGTTATCTACCGTCTACACAGTTGCTTAGAACAGAAACCTGTCTTACACCCCCATTTAAGACAAGTCGCGTGCCTTAAATGAGGAATTGCGTTCTAAGCCTTCCGTCATTTTCTTCTATGAATGTAGTTGTAAGTTTATAAGACGTGCATAATAAGGATATCAGTTTTCGTAATTTCTGTTCTGAAAATAATCTATTGTAATATGCAAGAAAAAGAATCAAACACCGGTTGTCAGTACTGTCCGCAAATTCTTGTTCTCGGGTAACTGTTTAGAGAGAACTCGGCCGAGCATCGTTACCCCCGTAAACAGTTACCCTCGAGCTAGATATTCCGGTCTGTACCGGTAGCCAGTGTAAGATTCTTATATTAAAACCTGGAAGTGATATGACCTTGTTTTAACTTCAATTTCTTTAAACCAAACACTTATAGAAATAAATACAATAAAATCATCTATACTTTGCATTTTCCTTTTATTTCATTTATTACAGATTTAATTATAAAGCGGAAGTTCGAAATGTTTCTAATAAATGTTTTCTGGAATGCATCCTGAAAGTAGAAAACAACACCATAGTATTATATCTGTAATTACGTTAATTGTTAAATAATAAAAACAAAGCTCATGCGGAGATAAATTCTCATTTTGGAATACGTCACAACTACAATGTAACAGAAGTCACGTGACAATTGCTGAACCTATTCAGAATCCTTTTTTTTCAGAAGTTATCAGATTTTCACCTAATTTTATGTCTGCATTCCGAAATTATTGAAAAAGGACAAACAGGCTCCGGCCCTATTGCTTTCTGACAAAAACAAATCCTCTCTTCAGACTAGATTCGGACAGTATTAAGCTGTGATATAAAAGTTCAGTAGCATTCAAGCCCCATGTTCTAAAGAAATAATTTGATACATTTATCATTATTCCATTGATTTGTTTCATTAAAGGTTTGTTTCTCAAATTATTATTTAAAATCTAAAATATTTGCATCATAACACTGACGACTACAAATGAAAGGATGACAATCAGTTTATGAATAGAAGAACATGGTTTTTAGTAAAAGCTCAAAATATCGTCTGTCTAAAAATATACCGTGCACATAGCGTTATGAATTTATCTATTTGAGACTAAGCAAAAATGCATGGAAAATGTGATTCGTGTTCATAGTTCTCGTTACTATTGTAAAGATAATTATGTTGTTTTTCTAATAGTTAATCGTAACAGGGGAACCGATCGGGTTGAATGCTATCGACAGTGCAAATGTAAAGAAACATTTTTATGTTCACCTTATTATATATAGAAAGAGCTATCAATAGCATTGGGTTTTTTAGAAACCGATGGGGAAGTTACCACTTGCTTTTTCGTAACTTTAGTAATGGTTCCAAGGCTATACTTCTAGCAAAACATCTTACTTTCTGTAACTTTTATAGTTTCCTTTTCCTTGTATGAACACAGTTGACATTTCTACTGGGATTTAAATCCGTAAATGCAATTGAAAGGAGCAAGTAAGCTGACGTCAACGATCTTCAATGAACCCAAAACATATTATTGCCAACGATTGCATAATATATCTAACATAAGCAAACCAGTTCAATTTTTTTACTTACAAAACATTGTTTACATGAAAGATTTTAAATTAAATTTATCACAGATAACTTACCATCAGTTCTGATATATTTATGGACAACCACAAGAACTACAAATGTCACAGTAAGAGGAGTCCCTCAGCAGTTGCGACTCGAAGAAGACAAGAGCACGATTATCTAAGGAAATAAAATAGAAAATTGTAAATGAAAGTAATTTTAGGAGGGAAATATATCTAGGTGATATTTAGGAAAACAAAATAAGAACACAAGAATGGCACGGACCGTAAAGCATGTAGAAATAATGAATACACTAAATTAAGAATAATGGGAACGGATAAAAGAATGAATGAATGAATGAATGCATGAATGAATGAATGAACGATCGAATGAGTGAATAAGAGAGAGTGAGTGAGTGAATGAGTGAGTGAGTCAATGCGTTTGTGAGTGAGTGAGTGGACTAAATAGAACATGAAAAGAGACTAAGAAATTATACCTGGTTCGTAGTAGTCAAACACCCGGATTGCAGCAGGTTTGGTTTTGGCAACAAGATCTGTTCTGATCAGTTCTACAGTGGCACATGTTTGTGGATAGACGTTTGGCAAAATCTGGAAATGATGTTACAATTATAAATGATATACATGTATGGGATATCAACTTCATTGCATATTAATAATGATTTCTGCCTGGAAACAATGAAAAAAAAAACAAGTTCAACGTTTATTGGAAGGCAGCAAAAACCAATTCGTCATTAGTCAAAAATTCCATCAACTTATCAACAAATCTGAGATTACTTCTACCCTTAAACAGTTAAAACAACTATGTTTGGAGCATTTTTATTGAAAGACCTATATTTATTGACAAATGCAATAAGCTGAGAGCTATATGAGTTTTCTAAAAATATATCATTGTTTTGTTTTCGTATATAAAATCCGTGTATATGGTACAGGAAAAAATTGGAAAAGGGGTAATGCCTCGGAAGCAGTGAAACAACAATATTATATGAAAAATGCACACTCGATGCAAAAGTGCAACATCTCTCACGCTTCCTAGCACCGGCTTAAGCGGTATTTAATCATCAACACTACGAAGGACCAGAAAAAATAAACTACACTGAAGAGTTTCACAAACAGCCACTTATGCAGCCTTTGTTAAACTCAAAATAACTTGTTTATCAGCCTCAGTTATGTAAATGGATAAATTTGATATCAAATCAAATCATGATTAAAGGGATACTCAAGCAAATAAATGACAAAATATAAAAATGATCTTATGTACTCAAATCATGCTAAAATGACAATTTTTAAAGTCCCAGCATGAAATTTTTTATAAATTCTATATATGTTGTGTTTGAAGCGTAAACATATCTATATATTTGCAACGAAATTTAGACGCCACAGGGTCACCAAGAAATTTTAAAACAAGTAATGTGACTTGAACAAAGCCTTGAGTTTCAAAATAGATATTTTGGATATTTTATGATTTGAACAAGTCTAAGTCATTCATTAAACATGTTTGTTAATGTTTCCAGAGTTCACTGTGACAATTTTTGTAAAACCTTCGAGCTTCACGATCCACCTACGTGGGTCAAGTAAGGAAACCTATATAAGGAGAAAAGTTGTATTCCTGTGCCTGCCTAGTGTATTTATTTTCATGACATTTGCAGAACGAAGAAAAGTAAATTTTGTCTGTATCTCCCTTTAACATCAAAATAAATTCATGTTTGTGAATAGAAATATATAAAGTCTCACCTGATCATAGTAAAGGACAACAGTTTTCTCGTCTCTGATTTCAGATTTTTTAACTTCGTCAAGGTGGGTATCTGGACTCTCCAAATCAGCCGAGAAACCGGAAGGAAGGTCTATCTCTATAACGGCCATGCCAGGGTTGACGAAACGCTGTGGCAAGTATCTAGAACAATTTGTAAAACATCCTTAGTAATGATAATAAATTGTGTAACAGGTAAAATGAAAATCTAAAAGAACGCAAAATATTGCAGAAAAAGAGTCAATGAAACCATTGCTACTCAGTTATTGCATTGTTTTGTACAGAATTTAATTGATGTTGTGCTCTTCTGTTTATGTTAACGAGCCCGGGTAATTGGATCAGCGTTGTTTATTGAAAGTGTATGCTGTAATGTTTCATATTTACAGTATATTTCTACTTTTTCGTATTTGAGCAAAATATTAATAAAGAGCTAGTATCTATATACTAAATATACTAACTATACTATTATAGTTATTATCACATGAATTAATAATTCCTTTATCTCAAATAAGACATTAATGTATAATTGTTAGAAATGAGAGGAGTTAAGTTACCTTGCACATGTTCTCACAACAATTGAACGGATTGTTTCTCTCAAAATTGTTGTCGTAATGTTGAAAGCGGGAAGAGAAACTTCAGTTTCTACATTGAATGATACAGACACCTAAAGTTGAAAACAGAAATAATTCTTACACAATGTTAGACAGTGAAACAGACACCGCGCGAGATTCTTCTTAACAGCGCTTGATCATTACATAATATCAATAAATACAATTATATGTTTTTGAATGATTTAGTAAAATTTCATTTACTGGAATAGTATGACTTTAAAAAATTGACCTATGATGACCAATGATCATACATGAACATTTTCAGTGGTTGGCGTGACAGAGCATGCACAGAAACCCTCACCCTGGAATTACTACGTAACCAGTGGTCAATTATCAATAAAAATATTATCTTTGTTCGTTTTCTTATATAAAGATTTCAAATAATTATATTGGTGGAGCACAAAGAAACCCCTTAAAACAACAACAAAAATGTTGATTTTTTTTCAGAATCTAAAACATTCGGTTAAGTGGTTGATTTCTATGATAAAATTACTTTTCACTTGTTTTAGATAAACTTACCTGTACCAGGGCCGAGCCTGTTCCATGACCCTGGAGAGAAACAGCGGGTGGGTGGTTGAAGCTGTTGTTAGAATGGGCAATTGCAGTGTTTGGTATCTGTTTTTAAAACAAATTGTTGGTCATTTCGTGTGTTTCAAAAATTTTCCCTTAAATCACGCCAACATTATTGTGGTGATATGGCAACTTGTATTTTCTACTATTATAGTACCATCACAACTCTCGCGTTAATAACTGTTTACATATCTACTGGTTAGTCGTTTGAATTTTCATATATTTTATCATTATGATACACTATTTGTACACAACTAGCACAAGTCATAATATACTACACATAGTATGCTTCCACTTTTGGCATATTTTCAGTAAATAGTAAACTCCGCTTATAACGATATACCGCTTATAATGATATACCGCTTATAACGATGCTGTTGCCGCGATTCCGACTCCTGTTTTAAAATTGATTGCCTCTCGGATATAAATTCGCCGGTTCCCTGAATATCGCTATAAGCGGAGTTTTCTGCAGTACGTTTTCATCTGGGAATAAATTCAGAGTTCTTTCAATACGTAATTAACTCAATCAAATACTTACATCGAGTAACTTTAGGACCATTGCATCGTTTTTGCCTATATGTATGTTCTTATGAAAGCTGCCTGACTCGACATCAATTGTGAGATCAAGTATATCCTTGAAAACAGATCCATATTCCGACATGGCCTGAAGTCCAAGGACCGTGTCCTAAAAAAATGTGTCAAACATTTGTTTATCTTAAGTTCTAATTAGAAATATCGACAAATTTTTATAACCTCAGATAAATTACTGCATGATGACAACTTCAATAAACACTGTCGTGCAAACATAATGCTTTAATTTTTTATTTCTATTTCGTCTCGAGAGTTGAATATTGCTAACATTTTGTAAACATTAAGGAAACCCTCCACAAAGTTTAATATATTTCCACAGTTACCTTATTAATGTACGAAATCCATAACCAACATAATGTCGCTGAAATGTAATCATTCTCCTTTTATGTCTTCTTCGTTTTCCTTATTTTTGTGCTTTGATTTATGTACCAATAAACCAGGTTCCAGTTAAATTGTGTTTATGAACCTAGCTACGAACATAACAAAGAATAAAATGAACTCGCTTATCATTGTTTTTTATAACAGTAAAGAAAGAATACGCTTCATCTGTTACCTGAGTGGATCTAAATCCACCCCTAGAGTTCCTTTGAGAGATAAGCCATTGTAGAATAGGGAAGCCTGTTTGAAGCTGCCTGCTGTCAATAAGGTATAATAAAGCATATGAGGCAACCTCAATCTCTAATGGTGGACTCTGGTAATAATTCATCTCCCAACCCGATAGATATGAATGTGGTTGACTACGCGCCACGGTCCAATGCATTTTCCCATCTGTAAGAAAAGTCAGATGTGTCTGCTAATTTAATTATTCAATAATATGTGTTTAGAATATTGCTCCGTACAACAACTGTTCTCTAATTTGTGAATTTCCTTTACTAGCTGTTGCTCGAATACACAACTCTTAAAAAAATGTCTTTGTAGATAAAGTTTTGATTTGCTAACAGCAAAAAAAAAGAAATCTTAATTTTTTTCCCCTGAAATTTGATTGATATAGATCACCGTTTAAGCTTGTTAAATTCCGGAAAAGTACGTCAATATTTCCGTGTGCTTCCAAATTTCTTACAGAGTATTAGAATTGCACATTTTTTGTTGTTCCGCTTTTTAAATATTAATTAAAACTTATGCCGACTTTTTTCACGAAATTGCAATGTCATTTTATTTACCTTGAGTTTTTACAGCGAGTTTCTCGAGTTTGGTGTACGCTTTGTAAGCGTGAATACTTCCGGTTTTACTCAGGGCATAGCTAATTATAGCTAGGTCGTAATCATCGGTGACTTTGTCCGTCAGTATTAAATTCTCCAGATATCTACGCGCCTTCGATACCATATTTGCGTAGTTGAAATAGGTTTTCTACAATAGAGACTAAATTTCTTACAAACAGAGACGAGATATGTTTCATTAAATATAATTATACAAAATATGATTGTGTACACTGTTATGACTGTTATTGCAAGTGAAATATTTGACAGCGTTGTAATGCTATAAGAAAATAGGCCATGAAAGGCATGCTCATTTGTTTCATATTTTTCTTTGTTCAATTTCATATTTATCTTATTTTATGTCAAAATTGGACTTTTTTCACACATAATAAGTTTTTGTACTTGACAACCGAATCATTTTCTTAAAAAGGCAAACGCACAAAAACTAGGATTTCAACCTTTTTATGAAGAAAAAAGAGACAAAAAGAAGAAAAACTCAGATGTTCATCAAAATACACAAAAGTGGTTGAAATCAAACGACAATGTTCTCTGGGGACCAAAAAATATTTATAATCATATCATTGTAGTAATTTGAAAATATAACATAGTGAAAAGAAAGAACAAGTGTAATTACGTCCTGAAGAACAAATTCTGCGTCAGCAAGAGCTATCAACACAAATGCCGAAAGGCTATATCCATTGCTCGATCCTCCCTAAAATCATACGGTAATGAACCAATCAAATATAATGTAAAATTCAGTTAAATTAATACGGTAATGAAATATTCAAATATAATGTAAAATTGAATTAAAATCATACGGAAATGAATTAATTAAATAGAATGTTTAATTCAATTAAAATCATATGTTAACGAAGAAATCAAATAGAAATTTGTTTCGTTTTAATTCATTTATCATACACATTTTATTGAGAATAAACAAACTCAAACCTTGAGATTAGTCGCGTGCACACTTCCCTTTGATTGGAAGGAGCCGTCGTAATTTTGGTAACGGTGTATCCACGAAGCGGCTCGGATAAGTACAGAATCCGACACGTATATGTAATCGCTGGCTTGATAAAATGATTTCAACACAAATGCTGTCAGCCTGAATAAAAAAGGTAAAGCGCTTTAATTGAAGTTGATATACGTTTACAGAATTTCATCATCTGAACTTCGAAAAATGATATCTTAAAAATAAATATATTTTATTTTACATCTTATCCAAATATAACCAAAGAAATTTCAGCAATTGTGCCAAGTTTTATTCTAATAGAAAAACATTGTAAGATACAATCTTTTCAATTAAGCCTCATTTCCCAAATCCATATCAAATGCACATCGTTCCCATGCAGTCTTGCTTTTTTTTTCTTTTTCAATGTAAAACATGTCAAAAGTGTAAAGTGTGAAAAAAAGGTTAAAGTAAATTTGTTGAGAATGTTACTGATTCTATTGGACTCATACACACCTGCAAAATCTATATCAGTCTCGGTTAGTCTGGCCTCGTCCAATGCAAGTTTGACTGCATATTGTACTCGACAATGTATACTAAGCTCATAATGTTACATTCTTTTATCTCACTGATCCAGTGCACAGTGTACTAAATTTGTTTCTTTTCATACTAAATTTGGTACATTTTAATATATAGTAACATACCACATGCTCCCCATGCGGTCCCTTTGTCCCCATATGCTAAACGAGCCATCATTACGCTGAAACGTCAGCTCACGTTGGTACCCTATAATAATAATTATCATCATTACTATTCTAAAATTGACTTTAATTGTAAATTAACACCTTATCACATTAAAATATCAGTAGTTATATTTTAATATTTTGCAAAGTATATCAAATGTATTCAAAAAATATCGTTAACATGAACAATATACTTTGTTCATGTTGTACCGTTATGCCTGTAAAGAAGAAAAGTGAGCTTGTCACATCACTTTATATTATCTAATTTAAAATAAAATTTAATCATAACTTAAATTATTCATAAAAAAGATTTACATAATAGGTTCACTTCACATTATATGATATACAAATAAAATATCACTTGACATTATATGATATACAAATAAAATATCACATTGCATTATATGATATATATGTACAAATAAAATATCACTTCACATTATATGATATACATATAAGATATATGTTAGTGCACAGCGTAGTACACAATTTAGAAAGACGTTTTCTTTGTTGCTTCAATTTACGTGATACTATTTAAATAATTAAATAAACTAAAACGTGTATGATCTTCATAAAGATATTTTGTTCAATCATTTTGAAAGAAATTGGTCAGTGGAACAGTACAATTTTCGCATTTTATTCAATACCTTTATACATGTAATCTAAGGTCATTTCTGCAACATCTTGTGTCAACTTGTTTGTCTTCTTTAAGTAATTGTAAACAAAAACATCCGGTGCAAGACTGGTCATCGTCTGCTCCCCACATCCGGTTGGCATTCTTAGTAAACTTTTAAGGTTCTTTATGGTGGGGCCCATTGTATCACCTGTTGAATATTGTAAAATAAACACAATTTATATATTCACGCTATATTAAGATAAAAAGTTATTATTTTATAAGTTATTATTAGTAGCCATTATTTTTCAAAGTTGATATTTCAAATATGCATGTCTCATTATTGTTTACCATGGACAACGTCATGCAAAAATAAATAAATAAATAAATAAATGAATAATGGCAAAGATTTTCAAGAAATACAAAATGCATTGCATCTTTTTACACGCAATTATTCATATCAAATGTTGGTATTCTGTAAAATCATCTGTCAAAAAAGGGAGATAACTCATTCTGTAGTTCGCACGTCATGGTCAGGGTAACGCATTGTAACACGGCCAGCGATTGACTGAAAATAATGCAGGGGAAACCGTATGATTCAACTGATACATGAGGTGATTGGATGAAAGTTGGGCATTTTTAAGTATAAAAACTAATTTAAAAAGTAACACTTCAATGTTTTCTTAAGAAAATGAAATATTTCAGGAGTCTCTGTGTATTTCAGTCCTGTGATCAGCAAAAAATTTCAATGAAATGGGGGGTAATCCTCTTTGAAGTCAATTGGCAAAAAAAATTGGTTGGCTACCCCTATATAACAGAAACATTTTTATGAGTCAGGCATTTCTTTCTGCTAGTCTATGGAAATATCAATGTAAGTGTCTGACCTCATTTAAAATCATACAATCCGACCAACCAAAATATCACTCTATGGCTGGCCTTATCTTTTACTCTGCTGAATTGTAAACTGTTTCACATTATTTCAATTTCAACAGTCTAATCTCGGTTCAAAAGTTAAAAACAAAGATTGAGCCAGCTCACCAACAGTAAAGAACCTGGTCAGACTGCACACATGTGCTGACTGACCTTGTTCTTAACTAATAGCAGAGTATAATATCACCTCCAGCAAGTTTATTTTACAAGTACTCTAATAACTAAAACTACAAATAATAATTAAACTACATTCAAACTGAATAATTGCAATTGTGTGTAAATAAGTTAAAATATCCTTTTATAATCGTACCTATTGCCGATATTTGGACTTTCTGTGAATCAGCAACAAAAGTTGGCGGGAAACTAAGTGGTACATCAACTGATGTGTGCTCATTTATTATCATTGGCACGTTAAAATGCATCGTTTTTCCTTCAGCTTCCACAATCAGTTCTCGCTTCACTCTATCAGCGGAGAATGGTGTCTGTGCCTTTACTGTGATGGTAGCAATGCCAATGATGTCTGCGACAACGGGAATAAACACTGATCCCGCCTGACCGGCTTCAATCTGTTTCCATGGAGACACGTGTATAATAATTATCATGTTATTAAATATTTTTTGAAGAAAATATACCTTAAGTTTATGAAAGTTTAAGATTGCAAATAAGAACGTATGCAAAAAAAAACAAAAAACAAGAAAATCCATTAAGTTTGTGAGTGTGATTTTTTTTAAATTATATAACAGCAACATAAAATCGAAGAATGTCATACATTGTAACAGAAAATTATTTTACTGAGTTTATTTCTTAAAATGAGTAATATTTCTAATACAGAGACATAGACCCTAAACTTTTAAAAGTAGCATTATTTTAGTTCATATGGTATAGGCAAAGTTAAAGACAGTTTCAATAATCAATTAATTACATGTAAAGTACATCTTTAGTGAATTAGTTTATACAAATACATACCAACCTGTCAAGACAGAGCTTGTATATTATTACCTGTACAATTTAGACTATATAAGTTTTTAAAGGATACTTACATGTATTTGTTTCACAACCTCGGTCGAATTGAGGGTAACGTGTGCGTTTGAATCATTAAAAATCACCTTGAAGTCTGCCGATTTCTCCAACGTCACCACAACCTAAATCATAGCATATGGATGTTAACGTATGCACAAAATAAAAGCTATATAGTATTATCCTTAAAAGAATAAAATCAAAGCACCTGTTTGTGAAAGAAAACACTTAATATGTATATTCAACCTTACAAAAAAACATAACGCGCTGATATCGGTGCGTTTATACTGAGATTGATGAAATCAGCTTAGAGTACACTTAAAAAAATTTAATATCATGAAAAAAAACATAGCCACTTCAACGCGGACTATATGCATTGTATATGTTTATGCCTTAAATCAGTTCATAGGACCTATATCAAAATATTATCAAATGAAAAATAAATCTTGTTTTTTTTTCTGACAACTTACGTCAAGATCTTGTCCCATGTAGTTGAAGACGTTGGCTTGTAGCACAACTTGTTCACCTCTGATGACGGAATAAGGAAGATTAAGGCTGATAAAAAATGGCCGGAAAGTGGTGAACTAAAAGATGAAAATGGAACGACATGTATATGTTATTCATATGTTACTAGATATTCAAAAATGATTACCCGATACAATAGCAAAATATGATAGCCCACAAGAAGGCAAATAAAACAGGTTATGAGATAGCATACATACGAGCCAATAAGATGGTAACACAAAAGCTTAAAGGATAGATTAAAAGAGCGCCATTAAAACTAACACAAAGGCTTGAAGAAAAGCTAAGAAGAAGGTCTATACAATACTGGTAGATTATAAAAGCCTCTGGGATAGCTTGAAAGAGAGCCCATGAGATAGTCTTTTAGAAAGCTAACACAGTAGCCTGAAAGACTTCTTACAAGATACCAATTTTATATCGATAGCTTGTAATACATGTAGCTTATTATATAGCTTTAAGTCAGTTCGTATGAAGGCTAATACAAGAACTTGCTAAACATTTACTTAATATCCAACACGATCGTCTTTCAGAAAGAAGGTTAACTCAATACATTTGTATCTGAAAGATAGCTCGTTTGCAATATATCTTATAAGCTAGCTTACAGGATAACCACGACGGTTCCAAGCAAAATAAGACAGGTTAGAAAGTAAGTAAAGACACATCTTTCTTCTGATGCTCTCTGATTTGAAATAATTATTGTCTAGATACCTTCCTTTCTTCTTTGGACTTTTCATGTCTATCGATATTTGAGCGGGGTAGGAATGTCTATTAGATTTAAGCCAACATATACACCGTCATACCTTTGTTGCACCATCAGTGACGCCCAATCCGGAATGTTTGTTGACAGAGAAGGCTGTTGAATACCAGGAGGTTATCGTGTCAGGTACAGATGTTGTCAAGATGGCATTGCCACTAGAGCTGAGAATGTAAAAGTGTGAATAATTCTTAAGAGATATGAATTAAAAAATTGAAATGCCTTGTTGTATAATAATACACGGTTTGGTAGAAAGATGACCGGTTTAAGTTTACATGTGCAATAATATGATCATAAGGGCCGTATATTGAACCCTTCCAAGCGAAGAAGAAAATTGCATGAAGTCATTTGACTTATTGACGTCGTATGTGACGTAATGTGATGTGTTAACATCAAATTGTTTGTCAAAATTATATAATTATCTTGCAGTTACTAAACATCCTACTTCTGGCCCCGAGGCCATAAACTTTTTAAAAAGTCTCAATTCAAAGCTTAGGTCCGTGCTCCAAGTCACAAGTAAGTGGAGATTTTAGCTCAAAGTGAGAGTATAAAAACGTTTGATACCAATCTCAAATGTTTAAAACCTCGGGGCCTGTTTAATAAGAAGAAACTGTAAAGCCACCGAAGCGTGCTTAAATATCATTAATAAACGAATCATCTGATATCACATTACAACAATAACAATACTGGTACGCAACAACATGATTTTCTGAAAGAGATGAATGCATTTGAATACTTAACAAACAATATATCAGTCAATCAACATTACACCATATTTTATAATAACACTTACTAAACTATTATTATATTAAAAGTACATACCCTATAGTTAGGTTAGTCCATAGCCATGTTTCTGGGAAAAAATCTCTTGTATGTTGAACCTGTTGCAGTAGACCTAAGCAGAAATAGTAAGATTGTATTGCTTTACGTAGTTTTTCATAGCTTAACAATTTCATAGTATACGAAATTATCGTTATTTCATTTTAAGTGTACGAGGATCTATTGTTCCAAGCGAAGAATGAATATCATGAATTTATATTACGTGCACTTAACACACATAAACAAATGTCTTAAGACATTGATAGCATATACCGCAACCAACTACTTGTATCTAGAAAACAATGAATTCAAATACTATTCAAAATATTAATAAGACATATGGGCAAAAATACTAAAAGGATATGACATAGGCTTATTTCCCAAACTAGATAATACCCATTTTACCTCTTTGTTCGAATAATTATAAGCTTAATTTCCAGATTTAATAGTACCGTTAGTCACCTAGTATGATACCATGTACTCGTATGTTAACAATATTGTTGACTCACTATGAAACAAGAGCCAATGAGCTCCCAACATTTTTAATTTGCCGTTTTTGGGTCTTCTTTAGGGATTTTGTTGTTCTCTACTGTATAAGTAAGTTTACTTACTTATTTAATTATTTTATAATGGGGTCTGTAACGTTTTCACAGCCATAACTTTCAATGCAGCCAATTATATGTTATCCATGTGTTCAGTGTTTTAAGTCGGACCAATAAAGGAAAGCTCATATTGCAATATTTCAGCTTTACTAGTGAAAGAAAACATCAGGTTCCCCTCTGGGTATTATTTCAGACACGGGATCACATATTAGAACCATCGACGTTTCATACGCTAGCACATGAAAGTATCCAAAATCATTGACAACATTCAAACCAAAAGCTGTGAGGGGTAAGTGGTTTGAAATCATCGGCCTAAACCACTGGGCAAAATTGGTATAGTAATAATTAACAGTTTTAGGTTTAGCACAATAAAATATTTCTGTTTTAAAATATGAATACCTGGTTTAGGTGCTGGTGTTGATCCGAATATTAAACCTGAAATACATACATTTACTTAAAAATGTACTTAAAATGCATCATCACTTGTATACACCGGAACCTTTACTCAACCTCTGACGTGGAGACTGTCACAATATTTAGCTTATTCTGTTTGTAAATACTAAACCCATATCTATGTTCTCATACGACTTGCCGTATTACATAAAACGTGTTCATAAAATGTTATTAATTCAGCCTCTAACAAAAATATTGTAAAGGTATTCTACACAGAAAAACACCTCTGAAAAAAATGGAATAAACTTTGAAATTTATTTCAATTATAAAATTATTTCCTGTCTTATTGTCACTAACATTTCTTGAAACTGACTAAATTGTCATGAAATGTCATCATGTCCCTGAATCGCTCACCTGAGTATGAGTATATGGTACACATGAACAAGAAATCATAATCAAAACATGACTTTAATAGGCTAACAGTTCTATTCAAAACAGGTTGCTTATTGTCTAGCAGACCATAACCATTTGAGCAAAATCGTTAGGTAGCCATCTTGTTTTACAGACCGGAATAAAATAACTTGAGTATTTTAGTAAAGAGCTGCCAAACGATTGTTTCTGTAACGTTTTATCAAAATCTTTTGTGTGATCGGAACGATATCTTTTAACGCCTTTTTCTATTATTATTGTTGTCATCAGGCTCATTAGACCTGAACCATTTGAGCATTTGTTGTAAAATCATTCCTGTATATTTTCAGCACTTTTGGCTGAGGGATTTAGGAGAATACATTTTTCAAGTGAAAAATGTTATCGGCGGACACAGGGGTATCGCAATAGCTCACCTAAAGGATGTTGTGCTGAGGTAGCATGTTTTAGTGATCAAATAAATTAATTAATAAGGGATAAACACTTGCTTTTTCATGTTATACGAGAAAGTTAATAATAACTGTCCTCTTAATTTAAGAAAGAAAGTTGATAAAACATGTTTTACTTTGCATATAGCGTATAAGAAGCTGATGTCTTGTTTATAAATAAACAAACATTTAAATGTATCAAAGATAATTAACAGCTTGTCTTATAATGTAGCTGTCATTATTCTCATAATTGTAGTTACCTTAGCAACACACTCAAATTATTCATTTACATCGTTACTGTATCCAGCAGTTTTTAAGGAAAATTGACAAACACTTTTAAATGTTAACAAAATTTCTAATCTTTAGAAAGTTTCATGTTCTAGAATATGCCTACCTGGTTTAGCTGTTGGTGTTTGTCCGGCCACTAAACCTAAATAAATGAACAATTTGTAATTAAAATGTATATTTTATGTATACGTTGTTAATATATGTACCAACATAAAAATTATCAAAATGTGATATCATTTGGATACAACGCTCATTTTAATAATCTCCAAAGTAAAACCAACAAATAATATCATTTAATCACATTGCTTCTTAATCTAACAGTTCCTTTGTTTAGATAGATAAAGACAATATCATTTAATAACATCGTTAACATAGTTTGTATATCTAGAAGTTCTTTTTAAGCTACATTACAAGATATCATTTTATCACATCGTTTCTTTATCTAGCAGATAGTTTAGACACAGCATTTAAATCACATCGTTTTTATATCAAGCAGTTTTTCTTTACCCTTCAGTAACAAGGCAAAGAGCAAAGACAAAACGATTTTCAAATGTATCAAGTTTTATATTCTAGAAAATGCTTACCTGGTTGAGCTGTAGGTGTTTGTCCGGAGATCAGACCTGAAGTACATAAATACCGTGCATTAATTTTTTATATGTATCATCTGATACTTACAATGTGATTAATATGCTGTTGTCGAAGTAGTTTCAGCAAGGCTCAAATAGGTGTTTTAACAGTTTAGTTATGTCAAATGTAATAAGCTGCTATTTGTCTGGGGATTGTTAAAAGGGACGATGTCATATTTTAATAATGTTCATGATGGTACTTTTATTAACAATGTTTCTTTATCTACAAAAACAGATATTTTTTAGCTAAATTAAGATAACAGCATTTAATTAATTCATATCGTTTGCTTGTCTAGCAATTCCTTTTTAGCCAGATTAGGACATCATTTTAATTACATCGTTTCATTAGCAGTTCATTGTGACAGCTAAATTAGGACAACAATATCTAATACAAATTGTTTCGTTATCTAGCTAATGTAATTAGGACATCATTTTTAATCACATCGTGTCTTTATCTAGCAGTTCTTTTTTCTTTTCTATTGTTTGCTTTCTGTTCTAGAATATTTTTACCTGGCTTAGCTGTTGGCATTACACCTGAAATACATAAATATCGTTCATTTATTATTAAAATGTTTCATCAGTTCTGATACAAATTTTGTTAATTTTTAATATACCATCTCATATTGCTACAACTTATTCAGAAGATGTATGCAATTTAATCATATCGTTCCGTTACCGGGAAGCTCATTTAGCTAAATCAACAAACACATGATGTAAAAACTATTTCTAAATTGAGCAAATTTCATAACAATGTTGAAAATTTTAGGACCAATTTATAATAGACGCTTATTCAAAATGATCTCAAAATGTAAAATTCTAGTTATCACGTAATGTTACATAGCCTAGTAATGAGGTTAAACTAACAATAAGCTCATTTATTTTCGTTGTCTAGTTGAGGTGAATAAGATACATATTTCAAAAGATTGACCAATTTATTAATTGACCAATAACTGATACTCACACATGTTTGGGAGAAACTATTAATACTGCCAAAATTATTTAAAAAAAAACAGCCCAACTCTTCCTATAAAACGAGTGTTACTGATATACTCTGAAGTATATTAATATAAATCTTCCTGTATCATGTGGGTCATTGAATATTCATTAAAAAGGATATGAAATTGGAAATAAAGATGGCAGAATGTAATTTTGTTTTGACATTCACTTGTACTTTAAACATGTATATTTAAATGGGGTTTGAATCTCATTTAAAGTTAAACTAAATATTGTTAGTATAATAACAGCTTTGGTATTTTCAGTCACTAAATTTTCATAAACAAGTATTTATTCTTTTTATTATAATATAATAAATTGCCAACAGTTTCAAAAATGTGTGAGTCTGATATGATATTAAAAGGAAATACTTAAGGAATAATTTCTATTAACTTTTACTGTTCCATTCAAACGTTGCACATTTCCTGAAGTACATTCATCATATTTCGTTAAAGTTCCGTCTATTTCGTACATTCTCTGCCATTTCGCAAATGCACAGCATATTTTCTCATTTTTCAAGATGGCCTTAGAACAATTTAAGCATAATATGTACAGTCGTAAAGCATTATTTTTTACAGGGAATCTATGAAGTATTAAAACCAATATAAATCATAATCTTGTCATTTTGGCAATATCTTTATCAAAGTACTTTTAATAATAAATTAAGTTACCTGGATACGGTCCACAATCTATTTGACGTTTATGAAACCCACTTGCCCACTGGAATCCATGAACATCAGTCAGTAATTGAAAACCTTGTCCCTGTGGTAATAAAAAGAAACCAACTCCTAGAACTACCTTAAGTTTATTCACATATAAAGTAATTAAGATAGTAAGAGGTATTGAGTACTTAATGAATCAATATCTGTACTTTTAATGATCAATATCTTTACCTATTTTCTATTAAGTTATGCTACGTCTCAAAAAAACATCAGTTGGTTTATCTTACAGGTGTGTAGTTTTCCATTAAAAGGCTGTGAATTTTTTTAACTAGTTCAGTGTATGTTCTTAATTCAAAGTTTCGCTATTTTTATGTCAAAATCTGCTTAAGCCAGTGGTTGGTAGCTTGCAATTACCTACTGTTCATGAACACCGTGAACTGAACCGAGCATGGAACATTTTCAATTTTAGGGCTTTGACCGTTAAATTTTGTACATTATGTTTATTTCCATTTCAAAATGAGCTGACTTGATTCTATATTTAAAAAGATTGACTGTTTTATTGGTGATTGACCAACAGTTGATATTTGAAAATGTTGAGAATAAATACAAGAGGGCCATGATGGCCCTGAGGTCGCTCACCTGTATGTAGGCCCCCGCAGCGGGACCAGTTTAAACCCCAGGGCTTTTATTTGAACAAACTTGGAAAACACCCATAAGAAGATCTTTCATGATGTACACACTTATAATGTAAAAAAATGATCTGCCCTCCCCCATCCCCGGCAGGGTCAATTTTACCCAAGAGCTTTTATTTGAACAAACTTGGTAGACACCCATAAGAAGATTTTCATGCTAAACATCTAAGCTCTAGCTCATTGGGTTTTTTAAAAGAAGATTTTTTTAAGTTTTTACTATACACATATAGTAAAAAACAATGACACCCCCGGGGCGGGGCCAGTTTTGACCCCAGGGCTTTTATTTGAACAAACTTTGTAGACACTTACTAGAACATGTTTCATGCTTAATATCTAAACTCTAGCTATTTGGGTTTATTCAAAGAAGATTTTTAAGTTTTTGCTATACACATATATAAGGAAAATCAATGACCCCCGGGGCGGGGCCAATTTTGACCCCAGGGCTTTTATTTAAACAAACTTGGTAGACACCAATGAGAACATGTTTCATGCTAAATATCTTAGCTCTAGCTCTTTGAGTTCTTTAACAGAAGATTTTTTAAGTTTTTACTATATACATATAGGGAAAATCAATGACCGCCTGGGGCGGGTCCAAATTTGACCCCAGGGCTTTTATTTGAACAAACTTGGTAGACACTCATTAGAACATGTTTCATGCTAAATTTCTAAGCTCTAGCTCTTTAAGTTCTTTAAAAGAAGATTTTTTAAACTTTTTACTATATACATATAGGGAAAATCAATGACCCCCTGGGGCAGGGCCAAATTTGACCCCAGGGCTTTTATTTGAACAAAGTTGGTAGACACTCATTAGAAGATGTTTCATGCTAAATATCTGAGCTCTAGTTCTCTTGGTTCTTAAAAAGAAGATATTTTAAGTTTTTGCTTTATGCATATAGGGAAAATCAATGACCCCCTGGGGTGGGGCCAATTTTGACCCTAGGGCTTTTATTTGAGCAAACTTGGTAGACACTTATTAGAAGATGTTTCATGCCAAATATCTAAGCTCTAGCTCTTTGGGTTTTTTAAAAGAAGATAATTAAACTTTTTTCTATCGGTTGCCATGGCAACCAGAGTTTTGTATGGAATTAAATTCTTTGAACATTTTTTAAAGGTGAACACCAAAGAAACATTCCTATGAAGTTCGGATGAAATTGGCTTAGTGGTTGATGAGGAGATGCCATTTAAAGTAAAAGTAAACGGACGGACGGACGGACGCCGGACGAAAAGCGATCACAAAAGCTCACCCTGTCACTTTGTCTTATCACTTTGTCATTATCCCACATTCGGTCCACCTAACAGGATTTTCCTAGATATCTTGTAAGTATTTACCAAATCAGAGACCCCTGAATTACAAGTTAATATGTTTTTGCCGAGACTTACCTCCATGACCCTTTTAGGATCATGCAATTCACTAGAATCTGCAGAGGAGTGCGAGGAAGGTTGTAGCGATCTTATTACCTGTAACGAATGTGTGAAATAAGATACTAGCACAACATAAAATAACATGAAAGACTGGCCTTTAGAATGTGTTCCCCTCCCAGTAAAATTTAAGTACATTTAAATAGGTTTTCTTGACAACACAAGGACCCCATTCAGGATTACTACTACAGGTATATAATCCTATTCCAACTCAAAGCAAACACGGTCTTAGTTTAAAAAGTTTATTTATCATTTCGACTCCAATACAGCGATGTTATATCTTGTTAGTTTGATTCTTATTCTTAAACTTGCATTCAGACAGGCTACGCCTATATTAACACATTTACGCAAACGCTTAACGTATGTTTTTAAAAGAGCGCCTGTTTAAAATAACTGTTCAGTGTATTCAGAATAGTTTATAATTCTAATACAAAGAGTGCTGCACAGAACGTGTTACTTTCATTTGATACATAGAAAGCATTAGATGCCAGGATAAAGATATATGAAACTTGTCGAGAGAGAGAAATATTCACTTACAAATAATAACACGCGTCTGTTTATCATTTTGTTGTTAAAGTTTCAAACAAGTTGGGAAAAGACTTGAGGCTATGATAAAACAATATCCGATGTTCATGTATTCACAGAATAGAAATTGATTTATAACTATTGTAATAACCTTTGTCATTTTGAAATTGCAAAAAAAGAATTCTTACGTCAGACTGTGTGATGTCATTTCCGGAAGCTAGTAACAGCACACTCTGGTCAACAGCAAGAAGGTTAACCAATGATTGGGGATCACTGGTGATGGACAAGCTTACGTTCTCCCCAGGTTCTGCTTGACTTTTGTCGAATGACAAAGCGACCTAAAATAAACAATCGTTAAATCATGTGCATGAGGCTCGATAAAGTCATTTGTCTTCCAAGTATTATTATATAAATTAAATTATAATGATTTAGACAGTGACATACAAGAATCTTATCGCTTTCAAGATAAATAACAGATCAAAAAATCGAAAATTGATAAACTGCAGTTAGCATTAACTTTTTATAGACTTGCGCTATAATCAAAGCACCTTTATATTTTAGAGAATGCAGTTTGACATTTCCTATTGAAAGCAATATATATGTTTTGAACTTCATTGTTAAACATAGATAAGTTAAAATATCAGAATAGGTTTTTACAAAAATATTACGAGCAGAAAAGGGTTAAAGTAACGTGAATTATCTTTTCGGCGATAATAAGTCTCACCATACGTTTATCCCTTTTCATATATAAATGAATGTATATTGCCTATATGTATGCTCCTGCTATTTTATGCCATGTTATGTTACGTTATGTTATAAAATGGCGTCAAATCAAGGATAGGATCAAATCTAGATCATACAGGTTGTAGTTGCATTACCTTGTTTTTGAATTTGTTAGCATCTTCTTTAACGTCGAAATAAAGTGCGTCAGCGTTCCACAAGTCGGTGTCGAAATAGTAAACAACGAGTTTTCCGTATGGCTTCATCTTGTCGGTCACGTGGAAAGACAACTGCATTGTGTTGGATACATTGTCGTGCAGGTAGCCCGTTTGTAGCATACGAGAGTTTGCAAATATCTGTTTTTATAAGTGATTGTTATTTTTTTTGTATCCTTAAAACCATAAATGTTTCAGTTAATGATGATACAGCTATATTCCATATTCAGTATCAGGATTTATAATATACACGTTGAATGTAATAATCTATAAAATTAATAAAAATAATTACATTAGATATCGCCATTGTTTGTTTTTGTTCAGATAATTGATATGCTATATAAAAGGTAGAAGTTACTCACAGCGTAGAAGAATGGAATATGGTGCAGACCGTCTGATCTCATTACATTAAACACAGCATCTTTTCCAACCTGAATGAAAATAGAAAAAAAACTAATTTTACGGCAGGCAGACCTCTGTCGCTTTTGAAATTTAGCTCTTTTTTTCGTTTAAAAGTAGTTCAAAACTTTTCCGTATTCACATGAATCACACTATGATTAGTATCAAAATAGACACATACATTAACAAGATGCTTCCCATATAGGTTTTGGACACAGAGAAGTAGTGTCTTGTCGATAGCTCCTGTAAATTCAGCGGAATGTCCCGGACAAAGTTAAAAGTGTAAAATTCAAAAGGGCAATACATTGAAACTCGAAAATTAAGCAAGGCAGGTTACGTTTCGTATGAATTGCACTTTCACGTAATGACATCTATCTGCACAGTTTTCTGTGATACGTTTGGTAGTTTCAGAGTTATGTCCCGGACAAATTCATAGTGTAAAATAAAAAGGCAAAAGCTCCAAAATTAGGTAAGGTAGAGAAAAGGTTGCTATGTAATGCATTTCTTTTTAAAGAGATCTTTTCACCTACAAAGTTTCTTGTTGATACCATTTGTTGTTTCAGAGTTATGTCTCGGACAATGTACAAAGTGTAAAAATAAAAAAGGTCAATAACTCAAAAAATAGGCTGGGCAAAGGTACGATTCTTTTGCACTGCCACTTCTACTCAAAAAAATCTACGTACACAATTTCTTGTTGATACCTCTTGTAGTTTTAGAGTTATGTCTCGGACATAGTTCAAAATGTGAAAATTAACAAAAGGCAACAACTCCGATATTAGACCAGGTACAGTTACGGTTCTTTTGGACTCACATCTATCTTTCTACAAAGTTTTTGTTGATACCTCTTGTAGTTTCAGAAATATGTCCCGGACAAATTATAAAACGAACAAAGGGCAACTTCTCAAAAATAAGGCAAGGCTGAGTTAGGGTTATTTTGCACTGCACACCCACTCAATGAGATCTATCTACGCATAGAGTTTCTAGTTGAAATCTCTTATAGTTTTAGAGCTATGTCCCAGACAAGAAAAGCGAACAAACAAAGCGGCGACTTTATGCTCTCCCTTCGGATAAAGATACCTCAATGCAAGATAGCTAGTATGTACAGGAATCTTCATTTAAAATAACTACAATACGTGTGTTGTCCAAAGTAACTAAAATAATATCATATAATCTAAATAATAAAATAGTCTACAATATGGGTTATCTCTAGATAGCAATAAAAACAACAATATTATATGAAAATTATCAGCTCGGTTTGATTGGATCTGTTCATGAAAAACAATGTAGCGCATCATGAGATATTGTAGCACTACATCTTTTACGCCCCGGGTTGCGCGGTATTCAACGTACATATTTACAGAAAACATACCACAAATAACATATCACTGTAAATAGTGTGTACTCACCACGATTGATGATGAGTTTTGTGAAATTTGAATGTTTCCATCGTCCATTAGCCAGTAAGGTTTTTGAACGTTCAATGTATCAGTGAGTCCCTCATAAAATACCTGAAAATGAAATAGATAACGTATGCACTGTGATCATTTAACAATGCAAAACACAGGTAAAGATGAAATTCAAAACACTGTCATTTGTGAAATTATCAAAAGTTGAATATTTATAAGGTTGTGATGAATGGTGCAGACTTTACAAAAACTGCCATTATAAAACTGTTACCTAAAACATTTTGAACAACAGGCGGAAAAGTTATGAAACTTGAAAGCATACATTCAAACATCTTGAAACTTAAATAATTTTGTTCCAAAAAACAAATGCATGCATGATAAAAGTCCGTTTTTACAGAAGACGTAAAAACTAATTTGAACACACAGCTAATATACAAGGACAATCATAACATTTATCATTTTAGTGATCATAAGAAGACACAAGTTAAACACCCAAATATTTGTATATGATATGATTTGTGTATTTAATTCGTACATACATTTAGATGTAAAGCGGATGCGTTAATAATTAGTAAATACCCCTAGATTTAAAGAGTGTGCATTTATAATTCGTGCATACCTCTAGATGTAAAGAGGATGCAAAAATAATTCGTTCATACCAGAAGATGCGTTAATAATTCGTACATACCTCTAGATGTAAAGAAGATGCGTTAATAATTCGTGCATACCTCTAGATTTAAAGAGGATGCAATAATAATTCGCGTTAATAGTTCGTACATACCTCTAGATGTAAAGAAGATGCGTTAACCGGGGGGATGACTGAAATCTCGATGCTACCAGTGACCGATGGCGCGTAAGTTTGTTCAGCAAGATATTTGGCCCTGTATCTGTGTGATTCATGGTCATAGAACTTCACATAACTGACAAGGCGAACGTTTTCTGTGCTCGAAATAATTGGATTTCCATTAGCTTGAGTCAGTATGACCTGCAAAGAAAGAATGAGGAAGATGTTTTGTATTTCTGTGTTTTGCCTATTATCTTTTCTTAAAGTGTCAAGTCAACAAAATGGAATAGCAAAACTATACTTAGTTTCCTAAACTTGCTTTACCTTTTGAAAACGAGCAAACTGTATTTCAATAAACAATCGCAATTAAAAATATTCGGTATATCATCATATTTTTTTATAGTTTTGTATTTTTTTGAAATATTTCAATTTCTGCTTTTCATCATTGATATAAACAAACAATATAAAATATTTCTTATAACAAGCTAGATTAAAATCAATGCAAATTAAAGACACATATTGGATAAAAGAAGAGATATAAGGGGCATTATAAATTATAATTCACGGTATAATCTTACATGTCCGATGTATGGAAGTCCTGGCTTGAAAAACGACATACTGGAGGAATGGTCAAAGTTCATCTTGTATGGTTCTTGGTAGAATACAACCTGACATGGATATTCAAAATAACGTTATCATTTCATATTCATCCATGAGTATATTCGTTGTTTTGTTTATACAAACGGCAAATTAAACTTGTTCTCATACTCAAATATTAAATTTTGCAGAAGACGGTGATAGTGGGCGTTTTAGGGAGCATACATATCATACATGAACATGCTCAGTCAGTCTGAGCATACAAAATTCTACACACTACACGTGGTCACAATATGAATATATAGTGTCAATAAAGAAATTTAAGAAAAGACCAACTTAAACTGACCTGCCATAGGGAACGCAGCCTCCCACACATTTATTTATTCATTAGTTTGTTCATTCTTTTATTCAAATTAGACTATTACAGTAAGAATTTAAGAGATTTCAATAAATTTCTATGATTAGAATATTTGACTAAAGGATGAGCATAGTATATGTATATCTTTAAAACAGTACAAACCTGAGATGTAGCGTTCTTTGTAATGTTATTAATACTCTCTGTAACGGACGCTTTTATCAGCAGGTGATACCCTGCAAGTTTTTCCACAAATGGTTGAAACGTGTAGGGATCGACCTCATTCGTAATTCTACTGAATGGAACGGTAAATTTGGCTTCTCCATTTATCTTTAAAATACAAAGACAACTATGTTAACAATGTATCAAAAACGTAAGTTGTAACATCTTGACTAACTAAAACTGAATTTAATTATACGAGAATATATTTGCTTTAAATCAGTGTGAGTAAAATTACGAGCATTTTCCTTTAACAAGAATTTAACGTCTAAATCTGCCCTCACAACTTTACATATAAATACTACATGATATCTCCCTGATTTTCATTCATTAAAATTTTGATACATGTTTATTATTTAACAATTTTCCCTACAAGTTTCTTAAATGTTTTTTCGTCAAATCTATCTTTTTTAGAGAAATTTTCAAAATAAAAACTTAAAAGCACAGCAGAAGAATCTATTGCTGCGTTAAGTTAAATTAAGAAGTGCATGTACTTATAAATAAATGAGTAATAATACGTTCTTTCGACCTATATCATTCATTGCATGATCGAGTGCGCTTAGAATCCTGAGAGAAGTATCACAACAAAGCAAAATACTATCGTTAACGCCAGTTGAAAAAAAACTTATTTCTGCCATAGTAGAGAATATTTTTACCTTCTTTAGAAAAGGCATAAGATATTTATCATATGACTAAAACGTGGATTAGAAAATTATATAAATAGATAAATAAATAAATAAAAACATACATCAAAAGCAGCCTCAACCATGACTTCATCTCCATGGTATTTCCATGGCGTATTGCTGTAGTCAATGTCTGCATACAGCTTTACTGTGCCTATTACAGGCTTACCATATGTGTATCTGTAAAATATGTAACAGTATACATTAAAAAAGGAAAATAACTGCTATCATTATTTAAAATATAGAAAATAACTGTTATCATTACTTTAAAATATAGAATATAAGTTATATCATTACTTTAAAAGATATTATATAACTGATGTCATTACTTTAAAAGAAGGAATATTATTGATATCATTACTTTAAAATATAGAATATAACTGATATCATTACTTTAAAAGATAGAACATAACTGATATCATTTCTTTAAAAATAGAATATAATTGATATCATTACTTTAAAAGATAGAATATAACTGACATCATTACTTTTAAAGATATAATATAACTGATATCATTACTTTAAAAGATAGATTATTGCTGCTTGAAAAAAATACAATTAAGATCAATGTGATTGAGAATAAACATTAATATGATGAATTATAATATTTTGTTCTAAAACATTAACTATGTCCTATATAGATGTATGTTATATCGGATCATGTATCTCACATGTACTTGGTAACAACTTCCATGTATAATTCTTTCGTGGTTTGTTGTTATGTTAAATATTAATTACGATCAACGTTATAATTCATTGCATTACCCATCTAAAGATCTATTAACTTTAAAAAAATTGTATTCTGCACTGTTACTTTCTAAACAGACGTAGGAAAATGTATAAAAATCGCCGTTGACTCCTTTAAATTAAAAGATATAAATAAAGTAAAAATTGAAAGAAAAATATAAATAATGATTAATTTACTTTGCTCTGACGGTGCCATGCATTTCTTTGTCCGTTGTGACCACATAGGGAGGTAATTCGACGCTCACCTGGAACTTTGGTAATACTGTAATTAACAATCAGAGATAAGTATAAGCATCTTATAAATTTCATATAATCATGCTTTCATGCTGAATATTTCAGAAATTTAATAATTTATTATTGTCTGAATCTAAAATTATTGTAAGAGATCTTTCTAAATATTTATATTATGCAAATTTAATTAGAAAATAGTTTTACAGAACTTCATACACTTCATATGTATAAATTCATATGTTATACATTGTATTTTTGTGCTCCGTGAAAAAATCCATGTCTTCAACCTATAGATATGTTGTATGTGCTATTATAACAAAAAAATCATTTGAGTTTGAGTTTGAATAATTATAGTTTATAACTTATTTTAACAAAAAGAAATTATTTCTATGGAAATGACATTTCTTGCAACAGTACTATATGATTAGAAATAAAACACAAAAAATAAAATTTGATACTTTTATATTGAAATCTAACTTTTCATATATGAAAAGACATTAAAATATTCACATACATTTGTTTGTTGCTTTATAATAATGAAAAATAAACAAACAAACACATGATGTCACCTTACCGTATTTATCCACTTTGAAATATTTCTCTTCAGTTGCTGTCTGAAGGAGAAAAAAACAATTAATATCTCGATTTGATGTTTTAATTTCTATTTTTTAAAGTAAATTGGTCTATAATTGGAAGGTCCTTTGTAATTAACTTTTAAAGAGATAGAAGGAAAAATATAACCGACAACCCTATTTTATTTGGAATTAAAAACTGGTAAAAAATTTCTTTTTTTCCCATAAAATGTTCCCTTCAAAATGAGGCAATTGTTTAACAAATTTTATAAAAAAAACCAAGATTTATTTTTTTGTTTGAATTTTGAAAAAATGTGGACAATTAAATTTCTCATCCAATTTTGGAAAATAAGATAATAAATTTCAAAACTGCTTTTTAATGTTTACAGACCAAATAATTTTTGATAAATTTTAAAATTTTAGAATTATAAAAAAAAATTTTAATAAATCTGTTTAAAGGGTATTCGCCTCCAAATTTTTATGGACTTGGCACATTTTTATTCCCCCTTTAGATGTCGCTGGCTTTGGGTTTTTGTAGAGGCTGGTTTCGTGAACGTTACCTTGTTGACCTTACACAAATAATTCTTCGAATCTTTCTGAGATTGTCTGCACCAAAATTAATTTCAACAGTTTTGTTGTTAATTCTATTTTACATAAAATATCAATAACAATCAAATGCTGTGACTTACCACTTGTCTGTCCACGCTGACTTTAATTCTCCACTCTCCAAGCACGGGTTCAGTGTCCATGACGAAAAAATCTTCAACAACACCGTAGATAGGTTCTGATACATTTACGAGCTTCTTCATCTGATTGCCCTTTGGATCCTAGAATGTAGTACAATACATGTTGTACTTTTAAATTTCTAAATTATTGAAATGAATTGTCGGGTAATAACCTTACCTAAACGTATACAATGTAAATATTTTCAGAAACAATGTTGAGAATTTCTGACTTGCTTTCAGCCAGTGTTCGTGACAAATATGAGGAAGCGACATTGCCTAGACCACCTATCACTGGCTTAAACAAATTCAATATCAACCACAGGTTAAGGACAAAAAATAAAATGTTACAAATCTGGGATGAAGGACGGGACAAGTAAAATCAACAACAAGAAAATAATAATTATGTCTTTGAAACCCACGATCTGTCTGTTCAGTCTGTTTGATATAAATTAAAACACTTACGTAAATTGAGATATTAAATTGACCACTGTAAACCATCATATCAGAAGATATCCCGAATGTTCGGAAACGAACTAAAAAACAAACAAAAAGATTTAAGCATATGTTGAAATCACTATAATTTTGGATTTCTTTTTTGAATTATTTTCACACCAATACTTTTTTCATAAGTCAATGCTCTGTCTTTACCTGCAATCGCTTACACAAATTATGACAACTTTATGAGTCTAAGAAATTGATATTTACAAATTAAAATAAAAAAAAAACATTTAGTAAAATGATTTTCATATCTACCACAACTCTTAACGTGTTCAGTTTTATCAAAAGAATATCTACACGAATAAAAGTTTTATTACATATTTTATTATCCTATTGAAAATGCCGGCACACGTTGTCATTTTACGAGTTTCTATGTACATGAACTACTCTTTTTTTCAATTAAACCAACCAACGCTTTCAAAATAAATATAAATACTCGTACAAAAAAGAGAAAGAAATGGCCAATACACCCCTGGTTTTTATGGATTAGGCACATAGTTTTTTTAAACAGCTATCAAGGCCATCTTTGACGAAATACTCGTAAAATGGCGTTTTATGCAAAATATTTAGAATATTGTTTACAACGTACCTGTCTGTCCTGGTTTGTATATTCCTTTGTCCGTCTGTATGTGAATTGCGAACATTTCTGGTATTGCACCTGAGTCGTAATAAAGAATAGCATGTTGTTGGAAGAATAACCCACTTAGACCGTTTATCAGTAAGGTGTACCTATACGGATCATCTCCAGTATCTGGTACCTGCAAATTTTAAAATATAACTTAAAATCTATGTTAGTATGAGAACGTAAAAAATCTGTATTTTCATGAGCAGGTTTATTGGGCCCATTCACTTATTTCTTGAATAAATAATTATGTGTAAAGCGTAATTTAATAGTAATAAAAAGCCTCAATGCCCAGGCAGGTCTAATTAAAATGAGTAATACAGGAACGTGTAAAATATGATAAGATTTGTGTACAATAAAAAATACATTTACCTTTAATTGCACTAGTTCTGATTTGGCTGAAAAACATAAATAATTACATTAATAAATATATAATGTTATAATAGCTCCATGAAAAATCGTACAATTATTGACTAGTGAGACATTGAATATGATGTGATTTTCACCGGAAGAGGTCATATTGAACGAGGCGATAGCCAGATCATATTCGATGGCTCAGTAGTTAATTATTGTTTTATCATATGTATAGTCTAAGATTTAAAATAAGATCGCATATGTACAGCCTTATACAACTTTTGTCTGTGACGCGCATATTTCTTACAAGATGACGTCAGGCGTTTAACGTCAATTTTTCATATTTTCATGTCTTCGTGATTTCGTTTACCACCACGCAGAACGAATGTTAAAAGCAGAAAATTACGACAAACTGATCATTTTGCGTATTTTCACGTTTTGTTTTGCGCCTGAGTGCACGAAAGAAAGGGAAAGATTTTCACGCCTTTCTTTGGCGCCCCAAGGAGCGAAACTACATCATGGCAAAAAAAACAAAAAACAAAAAACAACAACAACAAAAAATACAGTCATCAAATCTTACTGAAAAGCTTCTATTGCACGTTTGTTTGTGATTATTCTTCATTTCAATTACGCCTTATATTACTTTATCTTATACTGTAAATCTATTTATATATATACCCGACTCTTTGAACTATGTCTAAACCTCTTGAATATTAAAAAAAAACACAACAAACAGTTATCTCCCGCAAATTTATTAACAGGTCATTACCTCCCTTGAAGGTATGAGTAAGCGTTGACACACTATGATGATCATCACGTATCAAGTCAACTTGTACATCGACATCAACCCCGGAAATGTTGTAGAAATTAAACGTCAACGGAATCGGCACCCCAGGGGTGTATCTGTCCGGAACAACTATCCAGTGCGATCTAAAAAATAATATATAAAAAATAAGCAGAAATCGACTTTCCACACATATACAAGGATATATAGCACCAAACCTGATGTAGATTTTGTTTATATTATGTTTTGCAGTATTAAATCTTTTCAAAGATAACAATGAATTTATTGAATACAAGTAATTAAATAGAAAACGCGTTTAGAACACTCCTTGGCCTTTTGTTACATGTAGAGAAATGTTTTCTTATTTTTGAGAGAAACAAAACTAAAATAATTTTAATCAAAAGGTAAATATATAAACACATTGTGTTTAACTTACACCTAGCGAGAACATAAATTGACTAGCCTTTTCCACCAATATAGAGCCAGGCCAGCCTGCACGTCCGAAAAGTCTGGCCGTCAGACCAGACTCTATAATGTTAGATGATCTTGATATCAACAACAAATGAACAGAAGCTAGAGAATTTTATTTAAGAAAGCCAGAAGTTAAAAGTATAACAATTACCCGGTGATACTCGTATCTTTTGCGTTAGTGACATCACTCGCCAAAAACACACACAACAACGTGCAAATAAACAGCATTTATTATCTTCAGTATTTGTTAAGAAGTTTAAAATTCACTGTCTGTAATATAAAGAACACATTTCATTAATAGTACATACTATTTTCAAAGGTAATGTATTAGAATGAAAACTTAAGTCATAAGTCCTAAAATGGAAGGTCTTGAAACTTAAAATGGTATCATTATAATACTGTCGCTTAGAATCATTATATTTCTTTTATCACCTTTAGAACCCTTTTTATGTATAGGAATAACTTTGGCATTTTTGAACGATTTAGGAAATGTATTGTTTAGAATGCTATTATTGGATATAGTGATAAGTATTGGAGCAATGATGATCATGGCAACCTTGTTACTGACCCTTTTATCACTGCAAATTTGTTCAACAGACAATTTGCGAATCTTCGCCAATCCCATCATGCCATTCATCAGACTGGTTATGAAAATCCTGAGCTTTTTGAACTAAATATATCTTAACTTCAGCATATACCCCCTTTCAAAATACCTAAAATACAGCTCACCTATGTGTTGAACCAATTAAAATCGATAGATATTACAAAGTCATGTGGGTCAGATGGTCTCGGTGCAAGGTTTCTTAAGTTATTGTATATAATATTTCAGCTTCGGCATCAAAAGTATTAGGTTCTATGCGTGCCTTAAAAGATCTACTTTAAACCAAATTTATATATCTCATATGCGTCCTTTACTGGAGTATGCATCAATTGTTTGGGATGGGTGTGCTGAATATGAAAAAACAATCACTTGAGAAATTACAATACAAATCCGCTAGAATTATTACGGGTGCAACTCGATCAGTAACAAAAGATTGCTTGGTCAAAGAAGTAGGTTGGGTGTCACTCTCTGATAGGCGAAAAATTCAAAAACTTACGGTTTACTACCGGATTATTTATATTCTTTGTTTCCGCCAACTGTATCAGAAACTACTTATATTATCCTTTGCGAAATAATAACAATTATATAATTAAAGCTAGGCGCACTCAGTTATATAATGCATCGTTTTACCATCCTCCTGAGAATTATGGAATGACCTCGACCCCAATACAAGACACAATCAACATATTTAAATATAGACTTAAAAACCTGTTTAAAGTACCAACGGTTCCGAAGTATTATTTTTCTTATCAATATTTCATTCACGTTTAAGCAATAATTGCAGTAATTTAAATAATGAAATATATGATAACCATCTGCGCGAAGACTTTGATACTGTGATTAAAAATGCGGAGCATTTCCTTTTTAAATGTAATCGTTACTTCGAACAACAAATAATACTATTTCGAGAAACTCGATCTTATCATCCATTAACATTGATACATTATTGTTTGGTCTTGAAAATTTAGAATATGAAGATAACGTTGTCATTTTCGAATCGGTTTAAACAATTATGAAGAAAGACGACCCATTATTTTGATAGTATTTGACTTTTCATCTTGTTCTTGTTTTTATTCTAATATTTGTCATTTGTCTTTGCTTAATTGCTCTAATCTAACCTACTTAAATGACAAACATTCACAAACCCTCATTCTTCAAAAACCATACTACAATTCAGCTATTTTAAATCACTGCTAATGATTGCAACCTGTGGATGAATTGCACATCAAAATGAAAATTGTTAAAAATCGAATACATATTTAAAAGTTTATAACCATGTTAAAAGTAATCATTGTTGCCTTATTATTATTTGTTCTGTAATATTTTTCTTTGGAAGGGCTTAATCTAATGTTGTAAGAACTTGTTGCCCATTGGGCACCCATCATTTGCATATTGATATATACTTATCATTTGTATGATAATTTTGTAAACATGTATTTAATACAATAAATTACATGTATGTTGAAACTTATCTGTACTATCAACGCTACTTTCTTCAGTTTTAATTAATGTGTCATGCTCTTACTACATTATTAAAACATTATTAAACAAATGTTTGACATTAAGAAAGAATATAATAGATTTATTTTAACGGATTTCGGAGGCATAATATATGTTTAATTTATATAGATCTATGGATTCATAATTTAAAATCAATTTCAAGGAGGGAAGAATTAAGCCATTGGCCAGCGTAATATCAATTTTCGTATGCTTAGATGATAAAGTATTATTATATGATAACATTTCTTTTCATTTAAAAACAATTCGTATGTATAGAATATAAAATTATTATTTTTTGGAGAAAAATCCACTCACCTTTCCTTGTACGAGTATGTTTTAAGTAATAATCTTATTTCTTCACGGGTTTTTATATATTTCACAATCCAGCAAAAACTAGAGGTATATAACAAAACTGTCCTATCTCTACTGTTATCTGAAACAAGATACGTCAGTTTAGAAATCGGCTCATATCTTATCAAAATACTCCCATGACCTTTCTTAAAGTCCTGGTGCAGACTAGGTTATTCAAGGAATCCCTATCAAATTAAGGACATGGTTTTGATAAAATCGATTTGTTTGACTTGTTGTGAATTTCAGTTCGCGTACACTACAAGTCACCGAGAACAGCTATAGGTCAAGTACGATGAAGATTCACATACACAATATGACGTTTTGGAGACAAAAGAGCGCAGGGTTGAATAAGTGCAAAATAAGAGTATGAAGCTGCAAAATATCACGAAAGCGACGTTTTATCACAGAAAGTGTAATAAAGCCATTTCATAAAAACGATATTACATAGTGTTTAACAGTTTGATGTGACTCATTTTAACTGTAAACCTTTCTCTTTTTGAATATATGATAAATAGAATATTATATTCGTGTAGATTGAATACTAAATTTATTAAATTCGTTGATTAAAACAATATTATACTCACCAGAAGCTCACATAATATGATTTCATTCAACCAGTTTAATAAATTTAGAATTAAACCTACACTCATTCAATATCCTTAATATATTGCATTCAATGCCACAAGTAATAGCCGCACATGCTTTGATGTTGTTATTTCATTAAAACATTATTATAAAAGTACATATATGTTTTGGCAAAATTGATCCATGATTTATGGAGAAATTTAATAAGATTCGATACTTAATTTATCATTTACCACCTGATTTTAATACCTATGTTACTATATAAAGTAACAAAATCTAGTGTATTTCATGGTCATTATGGCAATATTTAGGTATTATTGAAATTTTATCGCCCTGCTACTCGGCATTATTTTTTCCATAATGGGCGGGTAAATTAATGTTTAGATGGATATAGTCAATCGTGATCAACAAAGCTTAACATGAACTATCTTTAAACTTAAGAGAAAAAATCCAATAACTGTTTCCAAACCAATACAAGACCCTCGGAAATTTAGAAAATGACTTCAGATTGATGGTAGATCTACTGTATATACATGAAAGCAGAAAATTTCAAAACAATATGACAACTATATTGACAACTAGAAAGGGCGACAATCAAGATGAGCGACGATGTCTTAACGCGGTATATCCGCTATATGTATTAGAAACATTAATTATTGGTTACTGCTTGCCATTGCAATAATGGCCCTGGAATTCGGCCCTTAGGCCACAATGTACATCTTAGGGCCATTATTCATAATGGGCAGCAGCAAATAAGTAATCGCGTTGTAGCAAATTCGAATTTCCGACACACAATTCTTCGTCTGATTAAATTAAAATAATGTAATATTTTAATTTTATAGTATGCAACTTATTATTAGCGATAACTGACTTCAGTGATTTAATACGAGGGCTGATTGGTAAATTCGCGGGATAGTATTATCTTAACTAACAAATACATTACACAACGAGATACCTTTTCTCTCGACTGACAAAAAGCAAAAATAAATCATTGAGATATATTGAACAATAAAGTTGTAGTTGTATTTTTTTCCCACATTATTTATTGATTTTTGATACAATTAAAGGTTTGTTTTGTAAAATGGATGCTTCTCAATTCTTTATAAAAATTTGCCTGCGGACGTATATTTTCTTGCTTTAAGCAGTTTTTTTTAATTTCAGCTCGAAGTAACCTAGCCACAAATTCAAACATAGGAAACGGGGTTTTATTTGGACAAAACTGTCGGACTAAACGTCAAACAATATCTGAAACTGATTTTGATAAGGATATATATTTTTTTATAATTCGCAGCTCAGTTGTTTAAACATGACTTTTTTCATCACCATTGTAGTGTATGTATTGTGCGGAAAGTAAAGGTATTTGATTTGAATAAGATTTATACAAGCAACAGGTGTTGATAATGTAATAGAACTAAGTACATTTGTAGTTAGATCACATTGGGTGTACCTGTTCTGACATTAGCTGCATGTTCAAGAGGTCCGCTAGGAATTTCTACATGTAAAATGCTATTTTATGCATCATTATCTTAAATCATTGAATCTTCAGGCGCTGTAATACTCGGATCATTTGTAAGCAATCATAATAATCCATGACTAGGTAATAATAAATGAGGTGATAAAATTAAATGGCAGTCATTAAATCTACGCATTAGTATAGGAAACACGTCAAATTTCATCATTCCATGTACATAATTTCATAAATAAGTCTATCAGTTTTGCTTTATGGTATTATATTTTCTATTGCTTTGATCATGCTCATAATTTTAATTTCGACGTTTGGAGTATTAGTCAGTATTAATCCTTTCATTAGTTATACATTTCCGTTATTTAACTTCAAAAGCAAATCGCTGTTTATTCATGTTGCCAAGTTCATTTGAAGAATCAAGCGATCGAGATTTTGCGCACGCGTAAATGGCTGCGAAGGAATGGTCAGCTTTGCACTGGATACCTTGTAATGCCCCGAATAAAATGTTACTTTTACGAATGTCTATTTAGATCTGCGCAAATAAAATTAAAAAATAAAGGGAGCATTACGACACAAAAGAACCAGTGCTCGCTTCATACGCTTTATTAAGTCAATTGCGTAGAGTAAGCTAACCAATAATTGTAAAAAAAATAAACTTGTACTTGACAAACTATTGTTTGATAATCATAGAGCTCTGCTTGATATGACTAATACTGTGCCCATATATAACCGAAACAGACTAACAAACAGCGAAAGCGGCGTAAAAAA